GTTGTCACTGCAGCATTGGGTCTAGTCGGTCCAATTAAGGCCCATCTCTGAAGTCAGTTTAACAAAAAAACGGAATGCTTTGAATTCTATACGAGCATTAATTTCATAGTTTTTCATAGGGCTCTTTGACACCCTAAAAATTGTTAGGGGGTACTTTCCTCCTCCTGGGGAGGATAAGTGTTGATTTTAATTTTTTTTTCCTTTAAAAAAAACAAACCCAGAAAACCTGGGATGGCTTTCAGGATGTTAACATGTTTTTAAATACAACAAAATTGTGGTTTAATGTCATAGCTCCCTAGTTTAGTAACATTTAAATCACATCAGGGCTAACACTTCTTCTGTCTTTAAATGTGCCAAAAGCCCTCTTTCCAATATTTTGCCTGCAGGAGAAGTGATTGCCTTTCCTGAAAGCTGGGTTCCCTATCTCCCTTCATCTGAAGGAATAGGGACTCAGATCTCTGGTCACTCCACTGTGTGCTCCCTAAATGAGAGAAGTTATGAATTTGCAGCCATAGTTTCTCTTGAATCAATTTCAAGCTCACTGAAGAAGTGAGGTGCCTGGAATGATAGGTGGGCATGGAGATATATCATAGCTACTATGTAGCTACATAATTGGACCTTTTGGAGAACAGGTCTTCACCTGACCTCTTAGGGACTACAATAATAGGCACTATAGAAAGAAAGAAATCCAGGAAAATAGTACAGGTGCAGCACAAGCTCTCATATTTGGAGGGTCCTCTTGAAAAAAAAATCTGCGGCCTTACTTTGATTCTGACACCTGCACTGTGCCATCCTTGATGATTTCATCCATGATCTGCATCAATAGGATGGGGCTTTCTATCCAGCACAACTCTTCTGGACTTTAAAAAAAATGCACCAAGTTGCGCATTGTTTTTAGTGTCAGAGTTGAGTGACCTTGACAAACAAGAAAGAGTTTTTTCCAGCCCTGTTTCTGCAGGTTGGAGTTAACATATTGTTGGAAAGTCAGCTTTGGCTTTTTCTCTGGGACTGTCTTGAGTTCTTCCTCCAGTGTTCTCCCTTTTTGGGTCATCCATAGGCTGGGACTGACTTTTCACCAACCCTGCCACCTTTGTGTCCCTAGGTAATAGGAAGTAGGAAATGTTGCCAACTAGAGCAAGGACAGTTATCTCTTACCGCATCAGAATCAAATGACTTGGGTGACACTAAAGAGGACATGGACAGGGTGATACCAGAGAGCTTTATCTTGAGATGCTGATACAGTGGCAGTCTCTCAGATGTAAAACCGGGTAGAACTTCTCACAGGTTGTCACCTGGTTTTGATCCTCTTCAGTTGACTTCTGCAGCAAAATAAGTTTTAAGTTTTATTTTTTTGTGGGAAAAACCTTTAAAAGGGTCACTAGGTATTATTGGAATACCAGAGGCTAAACTTTCCCAAATGGTTGTTACAAATACCAAAACAATTAAACTGGGAAGCATTTTCTCTCTTTCTCTCCAACCCAGATCAAAGAATCCAGAGTTAGGATGTAGATGAAGGATAAGCCCCAGCATTTTCTGGATGAGTACGTCCCACACGTTGACCCAGCATCTGAACTTGCTTAACAGGAAGCCGGGGTTAACCTGCTGCACCCTGCATGACAACCAGGGAGCACTGCATTTCTCCATGGGGTGGAGGAGAAGAGGTGAAATAAACCAAGCTTGGAACTCCTCCTCCCTCCCTCTTTCAAACAGCAAGGAAATTAAGGCTACATGTACTGTACTTTTCTTTAGCTGGTGTCCTGTGTATATTTAGTTTGACCTGATTCCTTATATTCCCCCTCTATCTCCCCCCACAACAGAAAAGAACAAAACAGACAACAATTCTCAATTCTTTTATGAGATTAAATTTCATTTTGTCTTTTGGTTTTCTTGTTAGGATTGGTTAGTCAAAATAGTAAGCTGCTGTAATGCACATGAGGATTTCAAATGATCCAAAAAAATCAATTGTATTTTTAAAGCATAGTATTTGAGAGGGAAACATGAAGCAGGGTATATTACTTGCCAAAACAAGGATTGAGGGTGTTGGTTTTTATGCTGACAGGATTTTCCTTCCTAAGGTTCAGGCCAGAAAATGCAATACAGCAATATCGTGAACTCCAGTTAGAACAAACTTTTTCAGGGAGCCCATGAGTCATGCAGTATCCATGATTAAGTCACTTCTTGCAGATGCCACAGTAAAGGAGCTACTTGTTCATAGTGCAAGGGCATTCATTCTCTTAGGTTAGGGAGGGGCTGTTATTTTGTCTTTATTTTTACCTTGGGGTTGGATTCTTATCTTTTGGGGGGGGTTTAACATCAAAAGCCAGGATGGGAATTATGCTAAACTGTAGGAACTGAACTTGTACAGTTCTTGAGTTCAGAAATGTGCATCAGGAGCAGGGGTGGGTCTTTTCTTAATCATCCTAGAAAGAATGTTTTCCAATTTGACTTTTGTTTGTGCAATTCTGTAAATACTTTGGGGTTTTCCTTTTTTTTTTTTTGGAAAGTAGACTAAAATCTGTTTTGTGGGTTTGTTTTTTCCAAAACATTGCAAAAGAACCTGTTTATTTACTTGCAAATAAATTTCTTTGATAAGAAGCAATCTTGTCCCAAGTGTGATAGCTTTGTGCCTGAAATCTTATTTTTTCCCAAACTAAAATTCACAGTGTAACTCCATGTTTTCCCCCCATCAACTATTACTTTTTATTCATTCATTCCACAGAAACTTGTCTTTAAAATTAAATTTTTAAAAAAGGCACAGAAGACTCCCTGAAGAGATACTAGTTTTATTGGATTAGTGGTGAGTTTGGCATGGATGAATCAGCATAAGCTGCAAAATAGGTGAAGAGAATATGTATTTCTTTTTATCTTAAACTGGCTCAAGGGAAATGAATAGCCCTTTAATTATATTTGATCACACTGTCTGTGGTTAGGCAGTAAAATCCTTTTCAATGGTTCATTTAAGCCAACAGGAATCCTGCTGTGGAGGCCCAACACTTGAAGGAGAAAACTACGCAAGACCAATGGGTGTTAACAAGTAACTAAAATGTATGCTAAGAGCATTGATGTAGGGATTTCTATTTCTGAAATCAGCCTTTGGTCACTTTGATCATGTTACAGTAATAATATAGAGGAATAAAATACACAGACTTTTATGATTCATAGCTATTCACAACTGGTGTTTGAGTGTGCCATACTTCAGAAAATAAAGAGTTTTATGAAGAACTAACATTACAGTTTGGTAGAGCAATATTATTTTGTTTTAAAATTATGGATATAGGACCCTATTACTGAGACCTTAAAGTCCAACTCTACTGCCACAGACAAAGCTATGTTAATTGTTCAAGTCATTTTTATTTGTGAAGATGATAATAAAGTTAACTAGAGGTAATTCCACAATTGTCCTTATATTCTACATTACTCACTCTGATAAGTTTGATATGTAACTGATAAGTTAACTTCAGACTCTACAAATGCTTATTAAAGGGGTGTGAGAAACTAGTCCATTCCTTCAACTTTTTTTGAGCACATGTATTCAAGATAGATAGTACTACTGAAGACTAAGTGTTAGCTCCAGTGTTCTAGCTGTGTTAACACCTGACAAATTGTTTAATTTTACTGAATTGCAGTTTGCTTTGTTTACTTGGAAAATGGGGCTAATGATATACCACATAATTGACAGGGTTATAAGGAAATGCTACGCAAACATCGTATGAGTATTAACATTTTAGCAAAGATTTAAAGGGGAAGGAGTAAGAACTCTTATTTAAAAAATTTCTGCCATCAGGTCAATGACCTGTGACTACATTTGACCTGTGATCCTGTTTCCTTATCTGTAGGATGGAACTGTAACACATGTTTAAAGTCCCTAAGTGGTGTCCAGACACAACAAAAACAAAAGATGCCTGGTAACAAGGACCAAATATTTTAATAGGGGCATGCAGCATTTAAAACAGAAAAGGGTAGGGACAGACCACTGATTTTATTGGTAAAGGGAGCTCTTGGATAAGGAAATTTCTATGAAATCTGGTGGGCACCTTCGCTGCAACTGAATCTTACAGATTTGCGGAGCACAAAGAGATTACTTGACTTGCTGAGGATCAAAGATTTTAGTAGTCTTCTCCTGGGCTTGTCTTTATTGTATTTAAACAGTAAAACACAAAATTTTAGGAGGGGGGCAGATTGTAAAAGATTTCTCGAAGGCAGTACTTGAGTTGTTGAGCCTTGAAAGATGGAGGTAAGGAGGAAGTTAAATTCATTCCTGGCATAGACGCTTGGAGAAAGTCTATTCAAAGGCATATGGTGGGAGACAGAACACTGAATTCCGGGACCATGGAACATAGCACGCAGGAAGTAAAGTAATGTTTTATAAGATTATGTCAGCAATTGTGTGGAAGATGGATTGGAGAGGAGATGGTAAACAGTTGTTTTATTTTTTATTACTAGTACTACCAACTTTACAGGGTTCTTGTGAGATAATCGCTTTGTAACTTTTAAAGCGCCACAGAAACAGTTATTGCTCAGAATGCTTATTCAGAAGATTTCCTAATCCGTGAAATGCCTTCCTACTCCCGGGTTAAGTATCATCTTCCTGATGTCATGGCCCTCTTCGAGAACGAAGGACAAAACCATACACACAAATGAGGACCGGGACCTCACAAATAGTAGGCGCAATCGGACAAATACTATTACAATAAAAGATTTTTACTTTCGTAGAACCTTTCAAATTAAAAGGCTCGGTATTCCCTCGGATCCTGCAGTATCTAAAGATTCTCCTATCTCCTGGCCTCTACACGCTTGTTTCTCCCGCTAAAATGTCGTCAAGAGCAGGGTTTCACCAATCCGCGTCTTGATTGGAGGAAGGACAGACCTAGTAGGCCATTGGGCGAGGGAAGCGGGACGAAGGCTGAAGGGGCGGGGCCAACACGGAACAGCCCAGCTCCTCCCCGTCTCGCCTCCCCCACCCCCACCCCACGCGCCCCTTCCCCATCCCTGGCCCGAGACGCACTAGCCATGCTGGCGTACCGCACCCCTTGACTCCCCAAGTCCGGGACTCTCTCCTTTCCTCCCTCTCCCCACCTGGCGCGGTGGGGGCCCTCTAAACCCCTTGGTGCCATGCGCCCCCTCCCCAGCCAGGCCATGCACGATGACACACACCCCCCGCAGCAGCCTCCGGGGCCTCCCCGCCGCTCCCCTTAAAGCAATCCACGGGGGCGGGGGAGGCGGCGGCAGCACGAACACCAACACGGCCCTAAGCGAGAGAGGTCCGGAAAGAGAGAGGAGAAAAATGGCTCCAAGTCGGGACCGCCTGCTGCATTTCGGGCTCAAGTCTACCGTGAGTGCTAGTGGGGCGTCAGGGGGAGAGGAACCTGGGGGCCCGGGAGGAATGGTGTCTTGTACGGTAGGACAGCATACACATCGCCCCGGGGTGATTCTTGAAGGGGTGGCTCGTGGCCGATCCCAGCGGGGGGCAGGCGTTGGGTGTGGGGGCTGGGGGTGCTGACTTCCCGCAGCTCGGGAGCCTTCCTCCTCCTCCTCCTCCTCCCGACGTGCACGCGCACAAGCACTTACGATTACCGCCCCCCAAAAAGACAGACTCAGACACACACATCATCTACACTCACACCAACACTCAGCTTTCCTCTGCCTCCTTTGATACTGAAGGGGCTTGCCCCGCCAGGAGGGACTAGGGATGGGCGGAGGTGGGGGCTCGCCCGGAGAGGAGGGGGTGGTCTCTCTCGCGCCGCCGCCTCGCGCTCGCGCTCGTGCTCGCGCCTCTCCTCTCCCTCCCCCTCCCCCTTCGTCCTTCCCCTCCCCCACCCTTGCTGGGGCCCCGGCGGCGCTGCCCAATGAACGGCGGCGTTGCTGGCAGGTGGGGAGTGTTTTTGTTTTGGGTTGAAGTTGAGGCTGGGGAGAGAGAGAGAGAAAGAGATAGAGAGAGAGAAAGAAATAGAGAAGAGAAAAGAGACGAGAGCCAGCGGCTCCCGCTGCGGGAGGTGGTGGAGGCCCCGCCGGAGTCGCCGCTGCTGCCGCTGTCGCTGCCGCGGCCTCCTCTCCCCAGGCTGGTGCCCGCTTCCCTTGCCCTCCCAGCACCGGGCCGTCCCGGCCCTCCCCGCGGGCCCCGGCCAGGCTCCCCGTCTGCACGCCGCAGCGCCCGGTCGCGGCCGTGCCCGCCGGCCCTATGAGGAGGGACATGAACGGGGTGACCAAGAGCAGGTTTGAGGTGTGAGGCCGGGGCCGGGGGGTGGCGAGAGAGGGAAAGAGGGAGGGGAATTTCCCTTGCCCACCTACCCCACCCTAGCCAGGCCCTGCTGCTCCGTCCGTGCGTCCATCGATCTGGCTGCCAGGTTTCCTTACCGGCCCCGCTGCAGTCCAGCTGCCCCACACCCTTCTCCGCCGCCGGCCGGGCCACGGACGCCGCCCGGCGGGGCCGTGGCCTCCTCCGCAGACAATGAGCCCTCGAAGGCGCCCTTCCCCCTCCATCCAGCCAGTGCCTTGGGGCGTCCTCATTTCTGAAGCGTACCCCCTGCCTCTCCCCGCGTCCAAACTCCTTACAACTCTCCAGTCGTCCCGAGGGGCGACTGCCGCCCTCCCCCCTTTTTCCTGTTCCTCTCCCACCCCCTTCTCGTAGAATGGACTCCAGATTAAGATCCTGGGTGAAGGGGTAGGTAGTCAAGGAGGGGAGGAGACTCTTCGGGCCGGACCGTCCTGCCTCAAACTAGGGAAGCCGGAGTGGGAATCTGGGAGAACCCAGAGAGGAACATGGGTTCTGGTTTTTTCTTGTTCGGGTTGGGTTTTTTTTTGTTTATATTTTTGGTTGCTTGGTTTGGGTATTGTTCTCAAACTTCCTCTTCCCTGTTGTTTTGGCTGTAGTGCTATTAGTCGTTGTTTTGAGGGACCTTCTTAACGTATATTGGGGGGAGTGAGAGGAGAGAGATCCGAGAGACTTATTCAGAAAATCCACCCCAATCTAATTATTGGTTGGAAGCTATAATTCTCACTCCCACCCCACCCCCACCAGTCCTTCCCCCACCCCCTCCTAGTTCCGAGGTTGTACATACTTCATAGAATGATAAGAAATTAGAGGCTGGAAGAGGAAACGAGGAAACAAAGTAGAAGTCGTGGTGCGAGTTAGGAAGCAAACTACTGTATGTTTTCATTGTTTCTAGGTGAATTACGGTACCTCAGTAATATAGGAAGGGGACAAGGATGATAAGGCAGAGACTTAGACAAGAAGCAGAGAGTAAACGTTACATGGCCTTTTTTGGCAGAGACTCATGTTGACCTGGGATCACGCACAGCTCAGTGTACATAGCCAGGTGTTTTTCTTCATGTCTATTTGAAGGATGACATTGGAAAGAGCTAGTTAGAGAGGTAAGAGTTGTAGGAAGTTCTAGACCACCTCTAGGGAGAAGATCTTACCAAAGCATCTTAAATGTTTGTTGATTGGTTTGACTTTATATGGTTTTGCCAGTTTGAGTGGGTTATAAAATACATTGTTTCAGCACTACAGAAAGAATTAAAGAGAAAGAAGTTTCTAGTCTCCTTAGTATGTTTCTTAAATTGATCAGAAAGGTTAAGAAGGTATAGAAATGTATTTTAAGCTTCCCATTGGATTTGCACTTTTATAGAAGCTAGGATTCCTAAATAGAAAGTAGACATAAAGAAGTATGTTTGATTTCAGATTATTAAGTACTAGTATACAATTCTAGACTGTAATTAAAATAATATTGAATGGAAACTTTGAAGCTCACAAGAATTTTGAAAGAAAAGGCCAAACGTACAGAGATCTAAATGGTTATATGGAATTTAATATATCTGATTCATTTTCTGTTTCTTGATTAAGCTTATTTCCGTTTTAGGTTGCACTTCTTTGGAGCTATGCTTTTAAATTATATTGCTCCTTTGCATTTTATTGTAGATATTAATTCATAACTTAGGTATAGCTATGATATATGCAAAAACAAGAACAACCAGATTTCTCTCCGAAGGAAATGTTTTTATTGAAAGTCAAGTTACCTTATAGGCATGTAGCTTGCAAGTGAAAGTTTCTGGAAGTGACTTTGAGGTAGGAAAAAGAAGAGAGAAAATTATTTGAAAAATTACTTGTATAGTTACTGAACATGTGATTTAAGATATTCTGAACCGGGGACAAATGAAAGATTTAGGAATCAGGAAATCTTTTAGGGAAATTCTTCATCTAAAATGAGTTTGTCTTAAAATATTTGCTTTTCTTAACTGTGTGTTCACTAGCAAAATTATTAGTTAATTGTTGAATCTTATTTAAAATAAAATTTTTGCTAACATCATTAAAAATGTATCTTTATATGGTAAAGCACCGCAATCTTCTATCTGTGTACATCCCTGTACAGAAATTTTATATTTAATAAGGTAAGGAAATATGTAACATGGACAGACTTAATACTTTAAGAAAGGCTATAAGTCTATAATGAGAAAATACTTCAGTGTATTGGGCTTGTTAAAGTTATTAAAATCCTTTGTGGTGAGAAGACTTTGCATAGTAGCCATTGGGAAGTCAGTTCTTTTCATCTCTTGCCCAGAAGTAAAAATGCTGAAAGTTTTTGTAAAATGTAGCATTCAGTATGAATTCCTGTTAAATGTTATGGTAATGTTGTAGACCAGCCAAAAAGTAGGATATTGTAAAATAAATATATAGTTGGCTTCAAAATGCCCAAGTGATGAGAAAATGAATGTTGTTACTCCTAAATAACAGTCTCAGTGAGATCAAATACCTGTAAAGGTAAGAATAAAGTAGTTAAAGCTTATCATACAGACATAAAATGTAAACATAGGCCAGGCACTATGGCATGGATGTCCTCTAAAGCTCCTGCTTGATACACTATCGGGCAATTTCATAGACAACATAGAGGTGCATGGGTAAGCTGCAATATATTACCAGTGAAAGACTATTCAGAAGAAATGTAGCAATAGATATCAGATGTACCACTCGAAAAGGCTGTTGATATGTGGAGATAAAGGGATAAAAAATGAAAAGCCTCCATTCTTCATTGGCAGCCCTACATTGTTAAGAAATTAGAAGACCTTTGCTCATATTGGCTGGATTCTTCTTGTTAGAGATTTATTGGGAGTCATAGAAAACATGTCACAAAGATGAAAAAGTGTGGATGGATAATCATCTGCACAGTTGGAAGGAGCTCATGATCATAGAATCCTTGAAGTAATGAAGTGGTTACTAGGCAGTTAATATCCAGCCAATTAAAATTCATGGAAAAACTATCTTATTTACCTTATTTGGATATATAAAAAATACACACCCTAAAAACTTTCACTTGGAAAGAATTTCACTTTACTGCTTCAATTTCTACCTGTTGTAATGTAGAAGAAAGAATTGATTTGTAGTCAGGTTTCAATCTGTCTGAGCAAGTAAATATGCAACTTGGAGGGGATAGATAGCTGTCAGTTTTCTTCTGCTATAAGATGAAGGGATAGAACTTGATCTTGTACAGGTTTCCTTCTAGCTCAAAGATTCTGTGACTTAAAGATTTCAAAAATTTCTGCATGAAAATCGGTTCATTTGGAAATTAGGTTTCATTAGGAAATTAGTAGTTGTTAGTGGTCATTCCACTCTGTTTAAAAAACTACATGATGGAGGTCTAGAAAGTACTAATAAGATTAAAGAGTTTCATTTTTAAGTATTTAGTATTTAAGTATTTAGAGGTTTGAAAGTTCAAATGGAGGAGACACTTTTCTTTACTTTTGATTTAATGAGTTAAATTTGCATAAAACCCAAAGTGGAAATTGAGGGTATCTAGCCTCATTGTTGAAGGCATTTATCTTTTTTTTTTTTAAATTTATTGATATTCATTAATGATGGCAAGTCAGCTTCATTTTCTGTAAAAAAAAATATTTTTCTTTTTTCATATTATGAACTTAATTCAAATATCAACCTTTTCCTATGGCAGGAACAGAAAAAAAATGTGTATATGAAGCAGAATCTCTGTTATGTACAGTTTGTTAATTTTAGCATTTATATGCAACTTAACACTAGTTTCAGCACTACTGTGTCTATGTACCTTGTCTCTTTATGAACTTTCTTCAGCTGTCTTCAGTGTGTTTTTTTAGTTATTTGTTAAAGTTCCTTTTTCTCCAGAGCATCAGATATTCTGCCTCAAAACTTCTTTGCCTAGGGGCAGCTGGGTGATGCAGTGAATAGAGCACAGGCCTTGGAATCAGGAGGACCTGAGTTCAAATTCGGCCTGAGACACTTACTAGCTGTGACTCTGGGCAAGTCACTTAACCTCAATTGCCTCCAAAAAAAAATCTTTATTTTTAAAAAGTTAAAAAAAGAAAGAA